CAGTTATTGTGGCTGGTTTGCCTGGAAAGAGACGACACAATTAATTCATTCAGAGAAATAGAGAGTCTATAAACACTGATAACATTCAACTAGGAAAGAGCCAAATACTCACTGCTATCTATTATTTCAAAGACATGGAGAAAGTTATCAACATCGAGCTCATGAAATACCTGGAACAATAAGGTATTATCAACGACAGGCAATATGGCTTCCGTCATCAGAGATCAACTGGTGGCCTGCTCGCTTACGTCTCACATATATGGCAGCAATTTATTGGGAAATATGGTGAAACCTCAGCCGTGGCACTTGATATCTCCAAGGCATTCGATCGAGTCTGGCACCACGGACTCCTCGCCAAGCTTCCATCTTATAGCTTGCCTCCCCAGCTATGTTCTCTGCTAGATAGTTTTTTTCAAGCAGGTTTCTTCATGATGTGGTCGACGGAGTTTCATCTGACTCTCTTATCATGAATGCTGGTGTTCCGCAAGGATCAATTCTAGCACCAACACTGTTTCTACTCCATATCAACGATTTGTTGGAAGCAACTTCATGTCCAGTACACAGCTTCGCGGAGGATAGTACCCTCCATACCGCCTTCTCTTCCAGGGCTCCAATTCCAGCCAGTCAAATCAGAAACGAACAAGCGAGAAATGTTGACAACATAAATATGGACTTGGCAACAATTCTCGAAAGGGGATCCGATAACTTGGTAGATTTCAATGCAAACAAAACACAAGCATGCCTTTTCCATAGAAAAGCCGATCTCACTGTGCCCACCATAAGCTTGTCAGGAGTAACCATACCTTTGAAGACATCCATTTCGATGCTGGAATTACTATCAGCAATAACCGTTTTTGGGAAAATCACGTGAGATCAATTGCTAAAAGTGCATCCCAAAATCTTGGGAAGTATTCATTGTTTATTATTGACCCCCTGTATAAGCTTCCATGGTTTCAGCCAAGTTGATGACTAACAGTGTCTCAATATTTCTAAATTGAACTTTTACATTTTTCTAAGCCCATTGCTATCACATTTCTTGTTATTCCTAACGATATTTCAAATTTTTTTATGATGCGGTTCGGTCTCCTCGAGGTAACAAGCCTTTTATGATACCGGAAATTACGAACATGGCTGTCAAATATACCTACCCTTACCGAGACAACTTTCGCCATTAAAAACTTCCCGAAAACTCCGAAGAAGTTGTCGACCATCAATGGAGTGAGTACACACAAACATGAATATTAAAGTACCACAAGGTGTTCCTGGAAAATAATGGTGTCAAGCATTAATAAAAACGCCATGTAAGATGAGACAATTTTCTTTAGGAGTGGATAAGGAAGTATACCGCGTGCCCCGGAATCAATTTACCCCACTGTATCCTCGTTGCTATTCGGTGAAGATCTTTCAAATCATGTAGATCGATTTAATTTTATAAGTGTATAATTTCGCTAGTTTCAGACTAAATATTTATTTACTGTAGAAGAAATACAAACAGGGCCATAAGGCCCTAATTACAGAATTTCTCTTTCTTACAACTAGAAACTAAATCTGAGTGAAACAAAAATACATACATAGCGATGAATATATACCTAGCCAAAAAAAGTGTATACTCGTATCTATATATACCCGATTCGACCGGAAGTGCATAAATTTTTTTTATTTCAGATATAAAGTATAATGTTTTTCTGGAAATCACGATTCACGAAAAATGAACAAAAAAAATACAGAACAGATAAAAAAATCGAACGTAAGAAACAAACTGTTATTACCTCGGTTATAACAGAGGTATATAAAAAATTGAAATTGATCTGAATCAGATGAAGTATTGTCCTTTCGTTCCTGTGTGTTCTGTTCGATGGCTCTAAAACTTTGGAAGGCGTCGGAGCCGGAATATACGGGATGCACCCAGTAGTGAAACGCTCATTCAGTATGGGAAAACTAGCTACGATATTCCAGGCAGAGGTATACGCCATTGAAATATGTGCAAGGGAGCTGGAAAATCGACACCCCACACAAAAAACAATATAGCTATTTGTGTATTTAGAGCGCAAAGTGATAGATTGCCGCTCGACAAAGAAAGTTACCGCGCGATGCGGAGCGGAGCGCGGTAATCTTTGGAGAGCGGCAATAACGCTTTGTGCTCGAAATACGCACAAGATTTTTTCTACTAACGCAGCTTTTGGAAATAACTACCCTAAAAGTATGAGCGATTGAAATAGTTGAAAAAGATATTATCCATATTATCCCATATGTCCAAACAAACAAAAAAAGAAAAATTGAAATAACTGACAAGCCAGAAAAAAAAATGTCGTGCCTACCGAGAGTTGAAACTGGACCACCAGCGTGGCAACCTGAGCATCAGACCTCTGAGCCAAAGTACGATAAACTCTGTAATCAAATTGAACATTACTCATTGATGCAATAAAATAAAGATACACTGTCTTTCTGATGACAACAAAGAGTTTAAATATAAAGTTTTCAACAGATATGCTTCATCGGGAACTTCTTGTAGAAATTTGTTGGTATATATCTTCAGCGGTGAATGTTTTGGATTTTTCTCGCTTTATATCGAATAGATTGTTTCTTGAGAAATGCGATAAGTTTCACTTATCGATTCCGATATTATCTTTAACATGCAAGCATGTATACGTACCATCGAATATATAGACCAATGAGTTGATGACTTCAAAGTCTTTGATTTTTTACCAAAATAAGCCAGTAAAACATTTTCTGAATACCTATTCACCATATCGGAGTGGCACCAATTTATGAATGTATCATATTGTAATTCATATGTCTTCCTTGATTTCTCCGGTAAGAGATTCAAACTCTTGCGCTTTCTGCTATATCATCAGGAAGGAGGTGTGTTTGATGATTCACTGTCACTATTTTCCATCATAACAGAATTGGGGGCTTTCAAGAATAGATAAGTATAGGTTACAGAGATGTGCCAGCGTTTTTTCAAAATATCCGCTCACGAGCGCAAATGCTGTCAAAGAATGACATTTCTGGAAACTTTGTGCTGGAATTCGAAAAATTCAAAGGCTACTTTGTTGAACGTTTGTAGAAGAAAGATATTCTCAGATAGTCAAGCAGCACTGGAAGCACTTGCTTTAAATCCAGAGCAGTATGGAACTGCAGAGAAACCTTAAACCGACTGGCACAACGCAATAACGTTAACCTAGTCTGGATACCAGGTCCCCCTGCCTAGAAGGGAACGAAACAGCAGATGTCCTAGCAAAATGAGAGACCGAAACATCGTTCACTGGGCCAGAACCTGTAAATGGTATAGCATATATCACTGCCAAGAATGTTATAACATCCTGGGCCGACAACAAAAGACTCGAGTATTGGTGTAGTCTACCGGGCTAAGCACATTCCAAAGCATTCATTGCTTGTACAAGGAACAAACAGGACTCTGACAAACTACTAGAACTCAGTAGAGCACATCTCAGAGTTATAGTAGGTTTGCTCACTGGCCCCTGCAAACTCAAACACCACATGCACAAAATCTGACTTGTACAAGATGCAGAGTGCCGTCTATGCATGGAGGAGGAAGAAACGGCTAAACACATTTTATGTTCATGCCCTGCAGCGGCCAGAACCAGATTTTCAACATTTGGCAATACAACAGTAGGGCCACAGAAAACCTGGTAAATTGTTCTCCCAGTGTACTCCTCAATTTCGTCTAGAAATTAGATATACTGGGAGAAATATAACAATAGGGTGAGCCACAATAGGCCGTTGGCCGCAGTGGAGGGCCTAACATGGGTCCACTCACGTTTAAACTTAAACCTAACCTCAAACCTAACCTGTTCGTTCCATTTGTGGTGTGTTGTTGTGATAAAAAACAACTCTCCATCTATCTGAAACTTCGATCCTGGAGTAATACTGTTTATCCCTTTCCTTTTGGATATATTCAGATGAGAACGGAAACAAAATTTATCGATCAGTTCGTCGAGCTTTCAATTTCAATTTGCCAAATGGCGTTTCCCGTGAAAAAAGTTGTTAAACTAATTGATGCAAGTGATGTTCCCGCGTTTCACTTCATTTTAATGAAATCGCTCGATTCGATTCGATAAGAGAGTCACTGGCGTAGGTCCAAGATATCACAGAAGGTATATAGGGTGGTCGAAATTTCGTTGCCCCAGTATTGCTCTCTCTGAAACGGCTAGAGATTGATAGTTAGTTAAATGGCACAAAAGTTGCAAATTTTATGAGCCGTTCCCAAGATAAACAAGAAATATAAAACGAAAGCCGACAATTTTGTATCTTCTCAATTATCTCGAGAACGGCAAAGAATATAAAAAAATGTTCGCTGACGTTATTTTCGAAGTAACAATGTTACTTTCCATAAACACCTGACAGTGCCGAATATATCATGTGCCATTCGAACGACCCAGTATACAACAATACTGAAACGTTTTTCTGTGTTTCTTCTCCAGTGTAATGTCTTCATAATGAACTATTTGTCGTCACTTCCATATTTCTGAAAGAGATCACATTAACGACGCTGTTTTCGAATCGGATGAGTAATAGATATGTTTCACGATCAACTTCAACGAAAGTGTGAACAGAAATTGGAAAAAGCTGTAATTGTTCCGTTTTGTTCAAATACTCAAGAATGTATTTCTTTGGGCATTAATAGCGCATCTGGAGCGTAACACTTATGTTATTCATTAAAGACAATGATTACACAGAGTGCTGGCATTGCATTGTGCTGTTTTTTCTCTATTTATCGTTCAGTTTTCGAAAAAATGTTGATTGAAAGTTTTATTATGGTTATTATAAGGTATTTTCCAGAGTTCATAATGATTTCTGTGATTCTGTGGTTTGAGATCTTACCAAATGTTGACAGTAAAGTTGTCATAGGTTCTCAAAAACACAAAGTATCGGCTGAGCCAGTTTCACAAAAATATAACTAGGTTGACGTAAACCTCTCTTTTCAATACTTGTACGCTTCTTTATTGAATACCACTGTATGTACTTCTTTCTTTCAGACGATGAATCATCTGAGGTCCACGGACTGATAACGTCAGAGGGGTTGTTCGAGGGCACCATATCCACCCCTTCAGAAGATTACCACATCGAACCAGTTAGCAGATACTTGCTCAAAGCGGCTGCATCGGACCAGAAGGAACCAACTTTCCATTCGATCATCTATCGCGCCTCTGACGTCCAGGATCCCACTAAAGGTAACAATCCCATCATCCATAGACCCTCATCTCCTCTATAGAAACAACAACAGCCAATTGAGGCTATCAGCTTCCATCTTATGGTTTGCCTCCCCAGCTATGTTCTCTGCTAGCTAGTTCTCTCTCAAACAGGTCTCTCCATATAGTGGTCGACGGATTTTCATTTGACTCTCTTATCATGAATGCTGGTATTCCGCAAGGATCAATTCTAGCACCAACACTATTTCTACTCCATATCAACGATTTGTTGGAAGCAACTTCATGTCCAGTACACAGCTCCGCGGATGATAGTACCCTCCATACCGCCTCCTCTTCCAAGGCTCCAATACCAGCTAGGCAAATCAGAAACGAACGAGGAAGAAATGTTGACCACATAAATATGGACTTGGCAACAATTCTCGAATTGGGATCCAATAATTTGGAACATTTCAATTCAAACGAAACACAAGCATGCCTTTTCTCTAGAAAAGCCGATCTGACTGTGCCCAACATAAGCTTGTCAGGAGTAACCATACCTTTGAAGACATCCATTTCGATGCTTGGTATTACTATCAGCAATCTTAGGAAAATCACGTGAGATCAATTGCTAAAAGTGCATCCCAAAAACTTGGTTTTCTGTTTTGGGCCAGGAGCTATTTCACTTTTTGGAGTGCAGCACCCAAACATACCCTGAAACTGTTCGATTCTGTCCAAAAAAGGGCAATTCGTCTCTTGGGTGATGCTTCGCTCACAAACTCACTCACTTCTCTGAAACACTGTAGAAAAGTTGTCGATTTGGCTCTATTTCATAGATATTTTCATGGACGATGCTCTTCTGAAATATCAACAATTTTTCCTCCTTTGGCAGTCCCAGCGAGATTAACCCGTCGAGTTGAGGCTTCGCACCCCTTCGTGGTCACTTTAGAGACCTGCGAAACATCTCTTTCCAAAGACTCGTTCATCCAACGAACAGCGAGGCTCTGGAACACTTTGCCAAGAGAGGTGTTCCCCGAGGCATATAACCTCCAGAAATTCAAGAAGAACACCAATTCCTACCTTATTTCCCTTGGTTCTCACGATGTTCTCTGAACATTACAGGATATTCCTTTTCGTGGGAACCAGAACATGAAAAAAAACATAATCTGAAAAGAAATTGAAATCGGTTGAAAGTTGGGTTGGATCAAAATTGATTGAAAAATATCCTTGTTGAGTGTTGAGCAGTTTATATTCTCTGAAAAGCTGATGAGTCTACCGGGTGGAGTATGAACCTCACCCTGTTAGATTCCAAGTCAACAGTTCCCACTCACTCGTAACCTAATCTAACCTCTCAACCTCTATAGAAAACTCTCTCCGATTCCAGGTCAACAGTTTCATCACAGCGACCACCTCTTCCCGTCCAGAAGAAAACGCTGGCTGTTGGAAGCCGAGGCCAAACTGCCTTACGACGAGCCACCCTTATTCTTCAACCCCTCCAACCGCACCAGACGGCCTTTCACCCCCATCTTCGACCTGGGCCAACCCATAGACGAGGAACTGGAGATGACCATCAACAGGACGCAAGTGGACGTTTCGGGACTCATCTTCAGGAACGTCAACAAGAGATCGGCCACGGTCGATCCCAAGAAGACCACTTGCATGCTGTATCTTCAGGCGGACCATCAGTTCTTCTCCAAGTATGGCACTGAGGAGGCGTGCATAGAGGTCATGACTAGGCATGTGCAGAGGGTCAACATGATCTACAGGAATACAGGTTTGTTTGTTTATCATCTATTCCGGAGTGATAGAAATATGAGTATTGGTGGCCACTCTCTTGGGCGCGTATTTTAGTTCTCTGACAATTCCAAGACGAAAATAAAACTATTATCTTCGATATGAGGAACAATCAGAATGACTTGTCGCGATAGACTCGAGGCTCATCTTAAGGAACGTAAACAATTGATCGGCCACGGTCAATCCCCCAGCTATGTTCTCTGCTAGCTAGTTTTCTCTCAAACATGTCTCTCCATGTAGTGGTCGACGGAATTTCATCTGACTCTCTTACCATGAATGCTGGTGTTCCGCAAGGATCAATTGTAGCACCAACAATATTTCTACTCCATATTAACAATTTCGAGCCGTTAAGACTCATGTCCTACAGAAGAAGGAATTGATGTAATGCTGGAGCTTGCTGTATTCGGTGGCCAAAGGTCATTCCAGAAGAGAACAACACTGCTGATGATTCGACAGACCTTCGTCCATGATAAAAGCGACAAAAATGAGAGCAATGCAACTCGTTTTCAATGTTGTGAGGATTACTTTGTTAATAGACGAGCCTGCTCCTTTGAACCGACTCTAGCAAAGAAGAGGAGACCTCTATAAACGTACTAACAAAATTTGTCACTCTACAGAACCAAAGAACGAGAAACCTAGAAGCACAGATAATAGAGGAGAAGCTACCCTACCCCATATTCTAAAAACAACCTTATTGGATATAGCGAAAGAAGGGTGCAGAATAAATATTTTAGGTCGCACCCCTTATGCATACAATATACTCAATACTAGCAATCTCAGGGGGCTTCAAGAGATGCTTAATTTTGGGCTTTGTATCAAAATCTGCTGTTAGGCAGCCATTATCATGTCTGAAGGGCATATTCATTGGTATATTAGGTATTTGTTTGGAAGATGGTGTGATCAGAGTTTAGGCACATATTTACTAGATTCAAAAAGCAAAAAAAAGGCGTATTGAAGTTTAGTTGAATAATGTATTTGCATTACTTGGGATACTACAGGAAATAAAATAAAATGGAAATGAGTGTACGACACAGCATATGAGTAAGCTTCGTTGGAGAATGGAGACATGATTTCCTCTTAACAGGAAAGTTCTTAGCTCTGACATCGTTGAGAATATTACTTTCCTTGGAATCTGTTGCTACATTGTATCGACGATAAAAGCATATGAAGGCTATAAACAATGTGGAAATTGCGCTGCACAAATTTTGGCTATTCACGAGCATTTCGCTACGCCAAAATACACAGAAGTAACAATACGATGTCAGAATGCAAAGTTTTAATCTCGGGTGCAATTACGCTGCTCCAGAACGAAATAAAGAAAATGCGAACGAGATATATTTGTATTGGAGTAGTTATCAAAAAATAGTCTAGGAAGTTTGGTTACTTGTTGAAGTCTACTGGATAAAATTCGTGCAACAGGCCTTGCAAATTTGAAACGAACAAATTGCGTATGTAGTAATGAGGTGTCTTAGATCTTTAATGTATCTGGAAACTCTTGCCTTCTTCCTCTTTAAGTTAGCAACCCCGATATTCCTTATTGAACCCTCACAGTGGCCAGAAATATGTAGGTTCTGCTGTTGTTTCCTTTCTGACAGAACATGCACAGCAGTTCTTCTGAGAGGCCTATAGTACCCAAATGTTATTGAGTCTATTATTGCCCTTTGAGAATCAGCTATATCAGGAGGTGTGTTTGATAGTTCACTGTAACTATTTTTTTTTATTTCATCTCTCAAGTGATGCTCTATTTATAGTCGCAACTCAAGGTGACCTCGTCTCTTAAGGCAGCCTTAAGGACCAGTTACCAATTTATAGTCGTAATATGAGCTTCAAGGAAGACTCAAGGAATGTCAATTCCAAGGAAGGTAGAGAGGTACCTTGAGCATTCCTTGATCCAATTTCTAGTATTATTTCAGGTTATGTTATGAATTCCATGAATAGAATGATGAAATTGAATGTAGTAAGTAAGATAATCTGATTCGAGTATATCGATTTCCAGTAGAAGCTAATTCAAGTTTAGTTGAAAAGGAAATCTTTTTTATTTCAAATAATATCTATATATTACAAATAATGGAAACTCAGCATATTTGATATAGGTATCATCTTGCTGATTTGTTCATGAAATTGAAATACATACTTTTTCAATGACTAACCCCACAAAATCACAGATTCAGTCAAAGTATTCAATCAAATGGATATTTTTCCTCTCCCTGGCATATAATACCATTGCAGCTTGAAATAATCCGTTCTTAATAGAGTTATTTTTGTATTGTAATTTTCCAACATCGTCATCGATAACCTCTTCGACCCTTTCTTCATTTTGCGGAACCATGGATATATTTTGTCTGTGATCGAAGTAATATATTGTTAGGCCCAATTTGAACCAACCTTTGAAGATAATCACTGGATTATTAGAATATTTCGATGTCCACACCCAACAGTAAACATTGTCAAATTCGACATTTTACATTTTGTAACAAACACATGACATGAAACAACAAATTTGGTCATAGAACACTGAAATTATACACTGTTGCCAAGTGTAAGGGCTCCTGATCGAAGGAATACTCAAGAGAGGTCTATAAAACAAGTATAACGTCAAGTACTGAGGAGCCCTATAGAAATCCTCAGATGATTGCAGAAAAAGAAATACATATATTCAATTCTCTTTTGCTTCAATCTAATCGCCACATGATGCATATCCCGATATGGATTTCCGACATAGATAGACTTTTACTGTGCTGAAAGCCAGGCAGAATATTCTCAAATAAATAAAAGCTTTTCCTAGAAATAGCTATAACAATTCACTGCGTAAACAAAATCTGAGAGCGAGAAAAAACAAAACGCCTTTTGCTTCTTTTATTGCACCATTGGAGCGCTCTCACGCTGAAAGCATATCCGTGTATCGTAAAGGGTGATTCTATTTGAGATTTCGATGTTGGCATCATTGTGAATAAAGTAGCTGCTGATAAGCATGTGTGATCTCAAATGTTACCGGGCAATGAGACGTCAACGAAATACTAACACCAGCGAAAAAAAAACGGTTAGAAAAAAATGTTGGCAAATGGATTGCCCTGTAACTTGTTTATTTGCAGCCTAATTTTGGTGAAATTCAGTCTGAAACTTAGCTTTCTTATGGTTTGGATTGAAGTGTGATCCCCTTCTCAACAAAATGGTTCCTGATTCACCTCAATTACATGTGTTTAAGAGAAGATACAATAAGTGTTTTGTGACAGTTTTATTCTTTCCTGTATAATGATCAAGCTTACTTTTTTGAAAACTGGAATTGAGGCTAACATCCCAAGAAACGAATCTACGATTTCTTCGAAGTTTCAGTAGAATCGGCCAAAAATAATTTAAAAAGTTACAGGGCGATAAATTCAGCAAACATTTTTTCTGGTCGATTTTTTTTGCCGTTGAGTGTAGATCACTCTCGCTCAACAATGAAACAAGTCAAAAGCGAGTCTATCAACCTTTCTGCTAAGGTGAATTGAACTTCATAACCCTCCATGGACGGAGTATCCTCTGAAACCATATCCATCAATTTTGGCGTTCCACAAGGATCAATTTTGGCACCAACATTGTGCTAACTTCAAATCAATGACCTGTAACACTTGTCCTATCCACAGTTTTGCAGACGAAAGTACTCTCCATGCTGCGTTCTCTTCTAGAATTTCCATTTCTTCTCAGAAAACTGAGAACTTACATGTTACAGCACGATTTTATTGTTGAAAATGAGGATATTTAGGACTCACTGAATGATCTTCGTAACTATTTGTAATTATTGTGAGATCTTGTTCATTGAAAACCTTTTTTTTTCATAAATGATATGGACATCAAAAAAAATGTACCTACCTCTTGCGAAAAATGCAATGCGAAAGTGAAAACGAACAATGTGGCAATATTCCCTCACGATCACGTGATCATCGTTTGGTCAATATGATGTATGGATGATTATAATATCGAATTATCATATTTTGATACTTACTATCATTAGATATACATTCATTTTAGTTAGAGTTTAAATTTTGCCTAGCTTATAATTGTATAGGTTCAAGTATTTGTCATTTTGTCATAATCTGCGATACATAACCTTATTGCTGTCAATGCTGTCATTGCTGTCTACACCGGTGTGAAATGATGATTTATTCGCCGAATAATGAGTTGATTTTAACATAAATAGCCATAATATGCCTCGGGGAACACCTCCATTGGAAATGTGTTCCAGAGCATCGCTGTTCGTTGGATGAACGAGTCTTCGGAAAGAGATATTCTGCAGGTCTCTAAAGTGACCATGAAGGGGTGCGAAGTCTCAACTCGACGGGTTATAGTCACGGGGACTGCCAAGGGAGGAACAACTTTTGATATTTCAAATTGCCCTTTTTTGGACAGAATCCAACAATTTCAGGGTATGTTTGGGTCCTGCTCTCCAAATATGGGAACAGTATTCCAGGACAGGTCGGATCTGTGCCTTATAGATCATAAGTTGCTGACTGGAAGTGAAATAGCTCCTGGCCCGAAACAGAAAACTTAGTTTTTGGGATGCACTTTCAGCAATTGATCCCACGTGATTTTCCCAAGAAAGGTTATTGCTGATAGTATTACAAAGCATCGAAATGGATGTCTTCAAAGGTATGGTTACTCCTGACAAGCTTATCTTGGGCACAGTGAGATCGGCTTTTCTAGGGAAAAGACATGCTTGTGTTTTGTTTGCATTGAAATCTACCAAGTTATTGGATCCCCATTCGAGAATTGTTGCCAAGTCCATATTTATGTTGTCAACATTTCTCCCTCGGTCATTTCTGATTTGTCTGGCTGGTAGGAAAAATAGTGTACAACTGGTTCGAAAGTAACTTTCATGCACTCGTAACATTTCCGTGCGAAATATATCACTTCTCACACTTGTTAGGCCAATAATTATTCAGAGTATAATATCTGCCAAAATATTGTAGATTTTTTCTTGTAGATCTGAATAAACGTTATCATTATAGCCGCACAATGGGCTTATATCACAAAAAAAATTTATTCCATAATTCGATAGAACTCACCCAAACTAGCTCACTACAGCAAACCGTTTATCGCTGTGAGCTCCCTACGTTTTATAAAAAATTATTGAAATCCCCGATTTTTCGGACCTCTGAAAACGAGGCGATGATGTGACGTCAAAACCCTTATACTGAAACAGGACTATTCCAGACAGAGATGAATGATACATGATTTCTGACAGAGTGAATTAGCGCGAGATCATAGTTGAAAGAATTAATATATCAGTTGCCTCAGTCTCCGTCCGGCGTTTGGTATTTTCTTTTAACTATGGCGAGATTAGGTTTCTACGTCATAAGAGGGTCCGTTTTCAGATGGTACTATTATTTATGTCCAAAAATTGAACATTCCAGTGAATTTTTCGATCGAATTATGTCGTCAATCATTATTTATGTATGAAAGGATCATTATAAACATGGTTTGAGTTAAGAGTTCTACCATGGTGTACACGCCCATTCAAACACCGATTTCTTTTTCAGATTTCAATCAGGACGGCAAAAACGACAACATAACGTTCATGGTGAAGAGGATCAAAGTTCACACATCAGACGCCCTGAAGGACCCCCTTTACAGGTTCCCCAGCAACTATGGGGTCGAGAAGTTCCTGGAACTTTTCTCCGGTAAGTGCTATTCGTTTGTTCGACTCGAGTTGTGTTTTGTTCGTCCTCGCCCTTATACATCACGACACGACAACGATGTAATTTTTTTTTTAAATCAATTAATGACAGTTCTCCTGAATATTCACAAAATATGAATGAGAAACGATTAGAGCATACCTTACATGAGTTAGCTAGATCGAAGAGCTTATAACCCGAATAATTGTGATTTTATCATGGTTTGTCTATTTGACGTGGCTATATCTTTATTAACAAGTAGGTAGTTTATTGAATGACGAAAAGTACCTTGGTAGAAACAACATACTAAACTGGGCGTCAATTGAAACGTTAATAGTGAAATTTGGCATCAAGTTTGACTTCTCGTAATTTCTAAAATATTGAACCAATTTTGAATTGCCGCCCAGATTCTGAATGCCTTTTTCATCGTCTTTCGAACCGTTCCTTACAGCTTCTTCTAAATTGATCAGGACCCGTGATACAGGGTAAAACAAAGTTTCGTGCATTTTGAAAAAAAAATCTCCGCCCCCCCCCCCATTTTGTCGGAAGACCACGATGCTCATATTTTATTCGGGCATTTCATAAATAGCAACCATACCTCGAGACGTTTTCGAGTTTTTGCCAAAAACAACTGTGGTTTCCGAAGAAAAAAAATTTTTTTGTATTTTTTAAAATGGACTAATTTTAGAGGAGTCCATAATTCCATAATTGGATGCTTTTATGCATTTCAGGAAAGCGTTGGAGCAGATATGTATACCAGGTTACTCAAAAACAATCAATAATTTATTACTTCGCAGTCTATGATAAAAGTTGTCTACCTTAGTGAGCAGTAAATCAACACATCTCATCAACAAAAACAAACAACGATACCTTGTTTTTATAACAACGTATTGTTGAAACAATGTAGGTATGCATAGAGGTTATATCAATTATTGCCAATTTTCATGAAAACGTCAGTGTAATTCGGGTTCTAAAAAATTTAAAGATGCCTCGTTCAAATCGGGTCGAAATGGAAAATATCATTTGGTAAGATCATTATAGTGATATGAACTATAAGTACAGATAATTATTATTTCAGTTTACGACGATTAGGATATACCCAAACTCATTTAAGTACCATTTTCAATAAGTCAGTCAAATAGACTGATTCATCGTTTTGAAGATACAGGTAATCAGGCCATTTAAAAAAAAATGCAAAAAAAATTTTTTTTTTTTCGGAAACCACAGTAGTTTTTGGCAGAAACTCGAAAACGTTCCGAGGTATGGTTGCTATTTATATGCCTGAATAAAATATGAGCATCGTGGTCTTCCCACAAAATGGGGGGACGGAGAAATTCTTTTCAAAAGGCACGAAACTTTGTTTCACCCTGTATCACGGATCCTGATCAATTCAGAAGAAGTTGTAAGGAACGGTTCGAAAGACGATGAGAAAGGCATTCAGAATCTGTGCGGCAATTCAAAATTCGTTCAATATTTTAGAAATTACGAGAAGTCAAACTTGATGCCATATTTCACTATTAACGTTTCAATTGACGCCCAGTTTATACGCCTATGCGAAATTGTTTATTACCTTTCCTGGCTGAACTATTCATGAATCGATTTGAAGCGAACGCAAAAGAAAAATTCGAGTATTTCCCTAGGATTTGGATTAGATATATGTCGTCGATGATATGTTTGCTATTTTTGATACAAAAACTACAGATATAGATAACTTCATTTCAAAATTGAATGACTGCTTTCCCTTTATCAAATTCACTTACTATTCTCCTCCTCTAGCAACTCTAAGAACTTCTAATCTACGAGGCATACTGGGAATTAAGTTGCTTATCGTTTCCATTGGTATACGATCCCATTCTTCCACTAATTCATCTGGCATTTCTGCGAGACTTTCCGGAGACCTCTCGCGGCAATACAAGGTATTAAGCAGTCATCCCAATTCATTTTTTTTTTTTCAGTTATTGGTATCAGTTTATTTCATTAGAAAATTGTTTCTCGATAAATTCAGAAAGTTGGTAATCTGCAAGGATTCAGCAAAAAAAGCTGTAATTCGGAAAATTTTGGAGATAAATCGATGAATAAAAAAACAAAATGCTCGCAAAAGAACCCTCTTTCGTATAGGGTGTGAGCACTTTGTATACCATTACTCAATTAACACACAGGGTGAGTCAAAAATGAAGAATAAATCATGGTTCGAGTTATTCCACCACCATCAAGGAGGCTTTGAAAAAATGTTCACCTCTTTATTTTTTTTGTAAGACAAATGCATTACCTACCAACAAATTAAAATAAAAAAATTGGCCTACTATTTTTTGTTTTTTTCTTTTAAGAAGGTAGGTCAAATATCAAGTGCGTCACTTTATTTGGAACTGAGTGTATATTGGTGCATATTTGAATTCAAACAACTATGTGACTACTATGGTAATATTCTATTATCCTCTTCTATGGATCGTTATCTCGGTAACTAATATACCCAAACTGACCACGATCGCTATTAAGTACATGCAAAGTATTCCTTTGATGTGTGCCATGGTGACTTGATTCCAAATTTCGCCACTACTAGGTTTCTGACTTGTGACGTGCTTATGTTCTAGACGATTATATATTCCGTGGCTTCTCATTTCCATCAATCTGGAAGGAAAAATAGGCTAGGAATGTCATCAGATACTAAAAATGTACCCTGTATGCTATGCTTCTCTCTGCTCTCGAGTCTTGATCCAAATCCATGTGCTACATGATCTAAGGTTACAGACAGAATTTGAATCTGAACGAAGATCAATTCAAAATTTCTGTCACATTTGTTCATTGTGTTGCTGCATTTTTTTTTAAATTTCGATTGAGTAAGTTCAGAATATGAGGAAGTGTATAAGATCATTGAAGTTCAAAAATGAAATTGTTATTTGTTTTATAGCAGTGATGGAGAAACTGATTAGGTACTTGGGTAAAACAGATCTTATATGTGGAAGCAAGCTCAAGCCAATTTATTCAACCTCTCACGGAAAGTAATTTTGTTTTCTTCCGTGGAAGTAAAGTGACAGATTTGTGTCCTCAAATAAAAGAGCAAACGGTTACTGTCGAAGCAGTTAGTAGATAAGAGTTTTTAACTTCATCTTGCCCCATCACCCGCCTTCTTGGATGACGTTGGGCGCCAAATTGGGCTAAGATCGGCATTGTTACACTACTGTCATCGAATATATCGTGAAAAGCAAACTTCTTTCCATTATTCAACGCTAAATACACTCACATTTTCTCGATTAGACGTTTTTCTTTCAGTGCTCTGGTCATTGCGAAGACATTTCCTTTCTGGTAATAGATGGTCCCAAAATTGACGATCTCGCATGGAAAAGCAGACCTTTTTGCTATGGCGGACATGATGACTCTGTTCTCGAATATAACTATCCCCTCTTTGCATATTATTTTCGAGATGTTTCGTTGGTCTATTATGTCCAAACAGTTCTTGTTGTTCAGTACTTCCTTCCATTCTGGTACCACCACACCATCATCGGTCTGAGGAGTTGAAGCAATTTGTTGAAGTAATTTATTTTCTTTTCTTAGTAGTTTCAGTACTTGGGGATATACAGGGTGATATACATCAATATAGAAGAGAGACGGACAAGAAAAGTGGAATATCAATTCAGATTCGAAATTTATTGTTGGGCTTGCTATCTATTGTAACCTATCATTACTTCTACATATAAATCACATCTGGAAATTGAAATGGAAGTGTTATCTCACATGTGTGATTCGTTGACACCTGTTGGAGGTTTAGGCCATATCAATTGTAAGTATTTTCGTTATTTTAGAAGATCCTGACATCGCTTCATAATTTTCTTCATTGACCTGCTATTAGTCTTTCTTACATCCTATTCGAACTTTTTTGAAAAGATTCATTCCAATTTTGTTGTTTTGGGGACACGTCGGGCAGAGTGAAATGAATGCTGCGAGGGCAATGTGGAATAATATTTCAGGATGTTGTAGAGAAATCCATCGACGGATTGACAGTAATATGTATGGAAAGAATTCAACCATTATTCCGTAGGTTGATCTACACATGATTATCAAAAAGCCGAAGCAGATGCGGAAATTATTTTCTGTTCCTGAACTCTCCCAGTACATCAACTTCCAAATGAGATTTTGTATCTGTGTCTATATTTCAATTCGTTCTGAATGAATTCGTGAAACTTTTAAATCAATTTTCATTCGCTCCATTATTATTATAGTATTTTACTTTACCCGCACCGGGGCGGACAAAGTGAATTTATGAAATTTATTTCTTCAGTTCACATTATATTTTATTGCTTCATAGTATTGAAGTCTATTGATGTTTAAGTCGCATGAGAAGCATTTTTTTGAAACATACTACAGGATGTCTCAACCGTTAACTCTGTCACTTCGCCCGTCTCTCTCCTACATGAAACTACTCAGTAGTTTGAAATGAACTGTTCAACATTCGAAACGTGTGTCGACATTCGAAAATAATGAAAACTTTTTTTTATGTTCTGGTTCCTTCGAAAAGGGATGTCCTGTAATGTTCAGATAACATCGTAAGAACCAAGGAAAATAAGGTAGGAATTGGTGTTCTTAAATTTCTGGCGGTTATACAACTCCCTTGGCAATGTGTTCCAGAGCCTCGCTGTTCGTTGGATGAACGAGTCTTTGAAAAGATATGTTCTGCAGGTCTCCAAAGTGACCACGAAGGGGTGCGAAGCCTCAACTCGACGGGTTGATTTCGCGTGGACTGCCAAGGGAGGAACAATTGCTGATATTTCAGAAGAGCATCGTCCAAGAAAATTTCTATAAAATAGAGCCAGATCGCCAACTTTTCTACGGTGTTCCAGAGAAGTGAGTGAGTTTGTGAGCGAGGCATCACCCACGAGACGAATTGCCCTTGTTTGGACAGAATCCAACAGTTTCAGGGTATGTTTGGGTGCTGCACTCCAAATATGGGAACAGTATTCCAGGACAGGTCGGATCTGTGCCTTATAGATCATAAGCAGCTGACCGGAAGTGAAATAGCTCCTGGCTTGAAACAGAAAACCAAGTTTTTGGGATGCACTTTTAGCAATTGATCTCACGTGATTTTCCCAAGAAAGGTTATTGCTGATAGTAATACCAATCATCGAAATGTCTTCAAAGGTATGGTTACTTCTGACAAGCTTATGTTTGGCACAGTGAGATCGGCTTTTCTAGAGGAAAGGCATGCTTGTGTTTTGTTTGCATTGAAATCTACCAAGTTATTGGATCTCCATTCGAGAATTGTTGCCAAGTCCATATTTATGTTGTCAACATTTCTCTCTCGTTCGTTCCTGTTTTGCCTGGCAGGTATTGATCGTAAAATTTAGATTTCACGTTTCGACTGTCGAGCAGGTTAGTGGAAAAAGTGAAAAAACAAGCAGTTCGAATGACCTCGAAATATTGAAAACCTCTGGTTTGTTAATCGCCTTGGTTATGTCACCTTGAATTGAGTCAGCCAGTATATCCAGCAGTTTTCGCTAGCACTTACCGTGAAATAATCATGAACAAAACTGTTTGTTCTGAGACAAAGAGATAATCCTCTATGTTTGCCAATGTCCTGTAACGACGTGAACGGAAATTTGACATCAGAAATGGCTAAACGTGAAAACAACACGGCGTTCATTGCCGCATACAGAACCACTCCCAACAAAAGGGCAATCAGAACCTGTCCTCTGCCTGACAGACTACGAAGTCTCAAATCATAACCTGGAAAATTAGTATATTATATTAGTATATTTAATGAATTCCCACCCTGCATTATACTCCTGAATGCAATTTTTGATTCCACATGGCGTTTCAGAAATATTCCAAGAATGTCATCTTCAGGAGCCATCTTTTAGGAGGTTGCAGCTTCCTTATGAGTCATTTTTCGACTCATGTGTATTGAAACTTTTCTTCCTATTTTGGCGCCTGGTGAAGTTTGGCAGGCTGATTTCGGGACACCCTGTATAAGGTTCCGAATTCAACTGCCTGCAGTGTCAGTAGTGCCACTGACACTGTTGAAATTCTGCTGTTCCGAAATAGTTCAGTATTTACAGATTACTTGTGCTGAAATTCGGAACAAATTCTCCAGGAGTGAGCTGTCACTATCCCAGTTATTCACAATTTTTTATACAATTATGTTTGGAGTAAAATTGATAAGATTTCGATAAATCGTTCGTGGACCAGCAACTAATCATTTGAGAAGGCTTCCTATAATCACAAATCGATGACAAATCAATGACGAATCTGCCCGATTCGTGATGTAACGAGCAGAATCTATAAATCAATCACGATGATGTGATCAACATTTTTAAGTACTGGTAGTCAGTAATTTCAGCAGAAATCTGGGCCGAAATCATTCAGAATGTCTGCTCTCGAGATCTGCCACTTTCAGTATGAAGTATAAATACTAGTGAAGGTAGCTGAATATCGCCCTGTATGACTAGAACAATATTCTATAATTTCCCCACAGACTGCCGACTAACTTAATCAGACTGAAATTAATGTTCAAGTAGGGCCTCAAGACGCTAGCAATGTATCATAGATATTTAGTACAACTAATTAGAGGTTATCTGTTCTTCATAGTGTCTAATTAAACCAATTTGGAAAGCTTATTTTCCGCTGCTGAAACTCAAGAAAAGTAGTTTCGCAAATGATGCTCTCCTTATGTAATTTTCAAGTTATTTGAATCGTTTTCAAAGATAACCTATCACTGTGAATGTTTTACACATCAGGTACACTTGTCATCTGTTCGAATTCTTTCACTGCGTACCACAAGGCTCTATTCTAGGACCCAGGTTATTCATCATTGACATACAAATGACCTCAAAAGACGATTTATCGAATTTTGAACCTGCGTACCCCAAGGCTCCATTCCAGGGCCTCTGTTATCGACCATTCACACATATAACCCTTCCTGACCTTGATTGATGAATCCAGAAGCAGCACTCAGAAAGCAGGAGGGTATGCCAACTTTCGGTTCCACTTTCATTAATTTGTTGAGGATTTTGACGTTCAACCATAGCGTCATAGTGAGTAGGGCTAATATGGCGGCCATAGTTAGCCATAGGTTGTCGGAAAACGTCTTCAAGTAGGAGAGAGACGATGCATGTAGTTTTGGTGCTTTCAAATAAAGATGGTACCTTCAAATACACAGCGACTTGAGAATTAAATTGCCAATATAAACGAGTAGATGACTATACTATTTCTACAAATATTCTTTCTGTGATAGGTGATTTAAGACTTGGCTCTTATTTGGAAGAACTTATTTTTGATACTCATTACTCACCAGTTATAGAAGTAAGGTTGAGAGAAGTAAAGATTATTCAAATTTTCTTCTGCTACAGAAGCAGATAAAAAAACATCAGCCTGTCCGTTCTCATTCATAGATCTTCCTTCATCGTAAGATGTACAGATCAAAGTGTACCTATAAATTTGAGTTTTATAATCACTGTCACAGTATATTCAAAGACATTTCTAGTATTACAGGTGAAATAGTTTGTAACTTTTTGTCACCGAGTGTTGTTATGATAGCAGACAACTCACTTGAATCGGTATTTTTCCTGAATTATATTCCAAATATCACCAACATAACCTCCAACCTCTTTAGTTTCGTTGTCACAAGTGATAAACGGCAACATCTAAGTACAATAATTTCCATCAGGTTTGCTAGAAAAGTCGATCTCACGAAGACACTAGTGTATATTTTCATAAAAAAAAGTATTGAGAGATTTTGTAAAGTTTTTTTCGAAAGTTGCAGCAATTTCAGATATACCCTGCATAAAAATGTCTTCGTGACAAGCAATTAATAAGATTTGAGTTTGATGTATAGGTTTTGTTACTGACTCCATACGCCACCTCATGAGTAGCACTCGCACGAAACTACCTATCTGGTATGAATGAAGACTCACTAGTGCGTTTAGTATTATAGAATACCGAAAAATACTAACAGAGTGAGCGACGATCCTCATATTATCTTTTTGCATATCCTCGTATTCTTCTCTGGAGTACTCCTTGAATGTATCATTGAATAATGAGACGAAATCTTGCTCTTCTTTATTGAAAACGAAGAGTTTTTGACAGGCGCTATGATAGCTTCCATTATTCTTGCATATTCCACGTGGTATCGCAACAGCTCGAAAAAACTAGGAAAAAATGTGGAGAGATAATACTGGTACAACTTACATATTTAACGTATTCAATGTATGTACTACACATTCTTCGATTGCCATTCATGGAGTATACGTTTTTGAACCTTACAAATAAGTATTTTTTTCTACGGCTATAACACAAAATTGCTCTTGTTATACTGTGTTCGATACATCAATGAGATACTTTGTTCATCTTCAATATTATTTCCGTATCTGATATCACAGGAAATCACTATCGTTCCGTGCTCGTTAAATAATATACGCCGTCCATTTTAAAACCAAAATTAGCCCTTGAATTGACGTTTCTATTCCACTAGTGAAGAGAAAAAAGAGGGTAACTATTTGAAAAAATTGAGTTTTCGATTTTTCTGAATAGAAAAATTTAGCTCTAGTTTCTGAACGCCCTGTAGAATATTTTTGTAGGCCCTGGAAATATCAGGTCTGACTAGCTTGAATTTCGATAATGATTCTTTTTGTATAGTTCGGCATCTTTAAAAAAATCGATGTTCTGGATGAAGTTACTTTGAAATGGGGAAGTTTCCTTTATTGAGGTTTTTATCCCACTGTGTAGTAAAAAATTGATATATATACATTTTTCTCAAGGGGAACTTGGCTCCTCCACCATTTCTATGACGTACTTTCTGAAAATCCACATTCACACACAGTTAGAATACGATTCCCTGTGCCAGTACGACGTTGCCGACATCATAAATATCTCTAGATTTCCGGGAATTCTTCTTTGAATGCATAATAACTATATCATAACAGCAAAAGGATATAATAGGTTCTTCACAATCCTAAATGGGGGAGACCACTGATTTTTTAAAATGACATTATCGTGTACTCTATACTAAAATACTACCAGCGAATTAATTTTGAATTTTGTCATTCATGCTAAGACGATGAAAACAATAAATTAGAATATATCCATTTCAAAGCACACAATTCCTGCGCCATTTGAAATTTTGTCAATTCATTGGTGTGACTGGTGCGACGTCTCAGTCCCAACACGCCTATTGTCCTTGAACTGACCAATCACACTGCAATACTGCAGAATGACGAGGTATCAGAGAGAGATAGCTACAGGTTGGGACTAATACGTCACGGCTCCACCATCATATTTGGTTGTTTGAAATATCGAATGAAATATGCTGATTTCAAAACGATATAGATTCGATTCCTTTCAACTTCAACTCATAATATTGATTGTACATCAAACGTAACTCATGATTCGTCGATTAAAAGAGGTTTGCACGGATTTCTTCTCTCAGTGGTCTTCCCCATTCCCATTAATCTCTCATTGGCTGAGTGAAGTTGATAAAGATAAATTTTGATAATTTGCGATAGTATCCATAATTTTTCACTATCGTTATATAACAATGAGTTATTTATAACTTGTCACTCATTTTTTGGTAATGAATTCGTTCCTTTATAAAACGGATCTATTTTCTAGGAATGTTGCAGAATATATATCTCGCAACAGCGCCTAATACTTCGAGTCCGTTCACACCACTCAAAATACTGACAGGCACAACAAGAGGAAGGAGCCATGGGGGTCGGCTTCATTCTCTTCTGACCGATGGCAGTAAATTAGGACGGATAGGATCATTGAATGTACCCGAAATTGATTCATTGATTCAATGATATTTTCGTTTAGGATCGAGCTCTATTCAAGATATTTCAATGCATAAATAACAAAACCATAACCTGTCAGGATGAAGCCAACTAACTTATGCATTCCTGCTCCGAGGGCATTTGTGGTTATGTATATGTGTTTGTTTACCAGTTTCACTTCTTCTTCTATTCTTTTTTCATTCGTTTTTCATTCGTAAGTTATTCGTTAGCTATTCGCTAGCTATATTCTTCTCCATCAGCTATTTTCATACTATAGATTCAGAATGTAAGTCACAGTTTGCTGCCCCGAAAATTAGAAGTAGTTTTAATTTGGAAATGAAAACGACTTGGACTTCATCGGTCGCCATTCTGTACAGCGTGGACATGAAACTGGAGAGTTCCGAAATTATCTTATGAAAATTCATCTGAAGGAAACTTCCTCATTCATCGAAGATTCTGAATATTTCAAAAAATTATTTGTAGATAAGAGCAAATCTCAAATATGGAGAACTGAATTATGACTTTGAAGTTCAAAAAGCTGTACATTCTTGACACATTTGAGGACTTTTTTTACCATGCAAACGAATACGAAGAACTGTAACATTTTTCGAACGTAATTTATAGGCACTTGAGACTCAACTGACTTCTCGGGTAGATAGATATATAGATATATCCCACATCATTAGTGGTTCTGTAATGGGCGTGTTGAAATATGAACAAGTTGCTACTAGCTGTCAAATTATATAGTCTCGTTATTTCCTACATCTCAGATGTCAGAATGTTTCATGTAAAATTATTGGACACTTATGGAAGTCTATATATGAAGATTCAAGAATTATTCCGATGTCTGAAAGAAATCACTATTCCGACTCTTTACAGGGTGTTTGGATATGAATCAGGAATATTGGACAAGTGACCCTTAGGTTAAAATTTTGACATAACACGGCAGTTCTAAATATTTTTTCTCGATGTGAAGTCCAACGAAAGTCGTCCGTTTTCGATTAACTGGCCAAGAGTAGCCAATTCCGTATTCCAAAATTTACTTCATGATTTCGAGAAGGGATATCCTGTAATGTTCAGAGAACATCGTGAGAACCAAGGGAAATAAGGTAGGAATTGGTGTTCTTCTTAAATTTCTGGAAGTCATATGCTTCGGGGAACACCTCCCTTGGCAATGTGTTCCAGAGCTTCGCTGTTTGTTGGATGAACGAGTCTTTGGAAAGAGATGTTCTGCAGGTCTCCAAAGTGACCACGAAGGGGTGCGAAGCCTCAACTCGACGGGTTAATCTCGCGGGGACTGCCAAGGGAGGAACAATTGTTGATATTTCAGAAGAGCATCGTCCATGAAGAAAAAAAATGATATAGAGCCAGATTGCCAACTTTTCTATGGTGTTCAAGAATTCGAAATCTGTGGTATCACATGTAAATCGGACGTAGGCCCATTAATCATTTTGTGTTGCTACAGGTCTCCTTCTTCAAATGTTAATGTATTTTTAAAAAAGTTAGATGAGGTTCTTAGTGTTACTTATAGACCAAAATCTAACATGCTGGTTTGTGGCGATTTCAATATTGATTGTTATAATGACTCAAATAATGATTTTAAAAAGCTGTGCAATGTCTTCAGTTGTTATAACATGAAATATATGGTTGGCTGGCCAACCAGAGTAACAAAAGGTACAGCTTCAGCAATTGATCAAATATTTTCAAATTTCACTGACAATGGTACATGCTGTGTAGTTGATAATAATGTTTCAGATCATAAATCGGTATTTTTTGATTATGGAATGGAGCAAAATTGCAAAAATCGCAAAAATTCCTGAAAATTGCAAAAATCGCAAAAATGCCTGAAAATTGCAAAAATCGCAAAAATGCCTGAAAATTGCAAAAATCGCAAAAATTCCTGAAAATTGCGAAAATCGCAAAAATTCCTGAAAATTGCAGAAATCGCAAAAATTCCTGAAAATTGCGAAAAATTGCAAAAATCGCAAAAATGACTGAAAATTGCAAAAATCGCAAAAATTCCTGAAAATTGCAAAAATCGCAAAAATTCCTGAAAATTGCAAAAATCGCAAAAATTCCTGAAAATTGCAAAAATCGCAAAAATTCCTGAAAATTGCAAAAATCGCAAAAATGCCTGAAAATTTTGAAAATTGCAAAAATCGCAAAAATGACTGAAAATTGCAAAAATCGCAAAAATTCCTGAAAATTGTAGGAATCGCAAAAATTCCTGAAAATTGCAAAAATCGCAAAAATTCCTGAAAATTGCAAAAATCGCAAAAATGACTGAAAATTGCGAAAATCGCAAAAATGACTGAAAATTGCAGAAATCGCAAAAATTCCTGAAAATTGCGAAAAATTGCAAAAATCGCAAAAATGACTGAAAATTGCAAAAATCGCAAAAATTCCTGAAAATTGCAAAAATCGCAAAAATTCCTGAAAATTGCAAAAATCGCAAAAATTCCTGAAAATTGCAAAAATCGCAAAAATTCCTGAAAATTGCAAAAATCGCAAAAATGCCTGAAAATTTTGAAAATTGCAAAAATCGCAAAAATGACTGAAAATTGCAAAAATCGCAAAAATTCCTGAAAATTGCATGAATCGCAAAAATTCCTGAAAATTGCAAAAATCGCAAAAATTCCTGAAAATTGCAAAAATCGCAAAAATGACTGAAAATTGCGAAAATCGCAAAAATGACTGAAAATTGCAAAAATCGCAAAAATTCCTGAAAATTGCAAAAATCGCAAAAATGCCTGAAAATTGCAAAAATCCCTGAAAATTGCAAAAATCGCAAAAATGCCTGAAAATTGCAAAAATCGCAAGAAAATTGCAAAAATCGCAAAAATTCCTGAAAATTGCAAAAATTCCTGAAAATTGCA